TTGTTAGATTTCAATCGTTCCTAGTTTAGATTTCAGGGAACACCAATAAAGATCATTATCACTTTTGTATCGTTCCGCCAATTTGTTCCACGTCTAGGCCTCTAGGCTATTAACGTTGAGTACATTTACGCAAATTGTTAACGGCGATATTGATATGTCCTTACATATAATATCCATTTCAATTGTAGAAAGAGTTTCTTTATTATTTCTAATATGTCTGTAGAATTTGCATACATCAATTGATACGTATTACGTTGATAACTTTATATTATTGTTTTTTGTCTAGAGTTGGTGTAACATAATAGTCTTCAAGCTCTAATGATTATAGGCATCTTATTAAATTAACAAGCATATTTTTTGTTCCTCCACAGTATCTAAATTCTTAATTCTTGTTATTAGGCTCCTTAACAGTACAACTAATGGTCATTAAATTTAGCATATATATACTATTTGATATATAGATAAGTATGGGTTACTTTTTATTCTGATTAATCGATATATTCAAATCTTGCGAACTAATACTCAAGAGTGGAGGGGAAAAGGATTGTTAGCAATGGAGTTTGACAGCCCCATTGCTAGCAATGTACCTTATTAGGTCGACCTCCACGTGGTTCCTTCTGGAAACCATCGTGAATAATTCTTGTTGAATTCATCACGATGGGCTAACGACCTACTTCATCCTCACCTATCATTCTTCACTGGTGCCCCGCCGGTGTATACCGATAGCGCGGGTGGGGTTATTATTCCATTATCATCCATTTAAAAAAAAATTGTCAAGAGTTCAACTAACCCTATTAATATAATAAATACCAAAAGGTTGTAAAGACGGATGAATGAATGGATGTTTCTTTATCTTTTACGTGAAAATTACTGAACGGATTTGAATGAAAGTCGGTAAACGGATAGGTTATATCATAGTTTAGTACATAAAATATTTTTTTAGTTTCATAAAGCCAAAGTTGTAAGATACAGCCGATATTTAATAACTTTAAATGAATATATTTTTATCTCTTTTATACAAATACCGTGTAACTTCAATTTCGTTACATGATTGTGCAAACTGTATCGACATTCAGAGAGATTCAAACTTTGTCATGCCGTCAAAGCTCAAATGAAGTTATTTTTTGTAGCTACTTCCTTCTTTATATTTTTTTAATAAATACATATGTAATAAAATTGTAACTAGAAGTCTTTTATACTTAGATGTTAAAAAATAAATTGTTTCAATAAGAGTAATGCAACCACATCAATAATTTTAAGAATTTTTCGTCTATCTGTGTGTTTGTTCTAGTTTCATGCAAAAACTACTACATGTCATGTAGTTGAATATTAAAACTTTCAATATGTATATTTCTTATAAAAAATCTAAAATAACTTTTAATAATATGCTTTTACAAGATATGTCTAACTAATCTTCCTTTTAGATTTACGACAAGGATAATAGTGAATTCAAATGCACGCGGAAGTTTTAAAGCCATTTAAAATATTTAAATACTATCGTAGAGATAAGAATAAATTTAGTGATTCGCATAATTGTACAGAGTTGGAAGATGTTTTGTTATTTTGCATGCCAGTATAAGAGGTTGAATTTTTAAAATTCCTTTCTTATTGTTCATTTACACAGTATAAAAAAAACTTATGTGCAAAGTTTCAAGATTTTAGACTTTTTGGTTTCTACTGTGCGTTTATATATGGGTCAGTTAGTCAATTAGCATCCTCTTTTATATGTATTCTCGTATGTAATATATATTGTTATAAGAACTTAAAAGCATATCTGTTGTAATTTCCTGGATAGGAGTCATTGAACCAACTGTGCCCGCAGTGAAATTATTCGTGACTACCAGTAGATCGTTGTTTAATATTGCATGTAGGCATTATCCTAGCAGATGTAATCGCTTAGTTTTGTATTCAAACGCGTCTTTATCGGTACTATAAAGAACGAGCGTTTGTGACGGAAATTATAATTGTTATTTGACACTTCGATTAATTATAATGAGCCCTTTGTCGCGAATCGGTGTTATGAATAATAAATTTTACTATTATTGCGATCGAGGATGACGTCATGGTTTCCCATCCTTTATGTTACCACATAACTGTACCTTTTTGCTTATTTTTAATCGACTTTAAAAAGAGATAAGAACGTTCTCAATTCAGTTGTTTTTTTAAGTTAGTTATCTTATACCTCTGTCAGTTGTAAATCGATTCGGAAAATACCTTTAATATTACTTATATAATAACTAAATATTCGATATTTCTTCAATATAACCAGGGCATAGTGCTTGTCTTGCATAAAAAGTAATTTATTATCTTTCTTTATCTTAAGTACTGTGTGAATCCCTAATTAAATGATGACCACTTAAGTAATTAAGACGCCAAAAGGAACAAATAAACAAACAAACAAACTTAATTTTCTTTTTATAATATTCTTTTGTTTTAAACATGACCAAAGTCTACTGCGGTTACCAAGCCTGTTTAGCGTGGCAACTGTTGGCGATATCCCATTATGGAGGAAACTTATGTTCTCCAGTAGACACTTGACGGCTGATAAGATGATGATGATTTTATTTTTAAAACCTTTGTTCATTTTAACAATGTCTATATATACATATGTGTAACAGGAATTTTATAAAATTACTATGTTTAACAATTAATGAAACATATTTCGATTACACCCGGAAGCCTTCTTCAGGGGACGTACGCCACTTTGCACCGCGGATTACACCTCGCAGAGCCCGTCCAGACTTCGGTACGAGCGGGAGTGGGAATGGAGATAGATAAATATTATAGTATTAGTAAGAAATATAATAATATAATGATTAATAATCAGTTTATCGAAATATTATCTGATAATGATTTGAGTTGTACGCTTTAATTGATTAGACATAAAAATATCTGATTCGATTAATTGACATTGACATAAATAATTGCTATTGATATTATTAATAATGATAGTCGTTTAATGATCGATGATTTATTTACGATCCTAGCATTTGTATCATTCTGACAGCTGTTACCCAAGCTATACTCGTATTTTATGAACTAGTTCCGCCACCATTAGTATGCGTGTGATCACCAGCCCTTTGTCAGTTACGTGCTAAATATGGCTAAAGTAATAATTTATAATCTAGTTCCATAAAAAATGCTGGCATCAATCTTGACAAGTTGATAGGTACCAATATGAGAGTAAATATTTTCGATTAAAAAATCATAATAAAAATCGGTTTAATATTATAAGAATATATTGCGAACCATTCCATTCAATTCCATACACACAATAATAATTATAAAAAAATATCACAATAAAATTGTGAAACGCTGCATATTTAAATTGATTGAAAAAATAAAAGTATTTACGAGTAACTAATTACATAATTCAAAATTAATATTTGTAAAATTTATATTTATTCAATCGGTAGACATTATATTATTATTATATACATATATTTTAATTATACAGCACTATCATACCTACTTGTACAACAATTAGTCCAAGATTGCTCTCAGCAATAAGACCGCCTTACTGTACTTATACAATTGTATCGTTGTGTTTGTAAATTGTCTTGCTTATTTCCTATATTGTATAATGCAAATAAACTATACTCATTCATTCATTCATATATTAAGTTTACTATTGTAATCTTTTGGAGGATACAATAAAGAGTATCTATCTATCTATCTATATTATGTAGATGTACAAGTAAGATATCTACTTACTATTTAAAATATTACATTTATTTTTTATAAAGAAAATCAAAAGTTTACTATTATGATATTTATTTTATTATTAAATCTTATTTATATACGTGAAAGTTTGTAAAGATGTACGGACTTTTATTATCTAATCTCACTTGAACAGCTGAACGAATTTGAATGAGATTTGGTACACGGGTAAATTATATCGAGATAATATACGACAAAGTCGCGGAGAGCAGCTAGTGTCAAGTAAATCTGAGAAAGCGCGGGATATTTACACCCTACTGAATTCAAATAACATGCTCAGCGAAATGTGAACATATCGAATGTTACATTTACCATAACAGCAACAGTTTATTGCCTCTGACTTAATGGGATTATAAGCGTGATATTGTTCTTTTTTTAATGATTCAAACAATGAGTGGAGTGACTGTAAAATTTAAATTAATTAACTAGTTACACGTTATAAGTATTACTAAAGCATGTAACAAAGAACAATATTTCAAAAGATTGTTTTTATTTACTTATGAAAATGAAGTAGAAGTTTACTCTGGACAACTCACTTTTCGTATCACATTAGAAATTAACTATGATGATTTCTAGGTAACCGCGTGGTGGTCGACCAAATAATTACTGGCAACTGCTAGACTCTATTATTAACAATTACTTTTCCTTTAGAAAGAATACGTCGTAAATTATTTAATACAAGTAATAGTATAAAAAAAGTTTTTTGTTAAATATTATTAAGAAAAAATATACTCCTGCCTTCAAACTATGTGTATTAAAAATTTACAGGAATGTAGGTAGTCATTGTGACTCAGTTATTAAATACAATTAATAATTTTGAGTCTAAACCAAATACACCTCCCATTCCACATCATTGGCGAAGTTAATAATAAGTTAACGTCGATATTTACGTCAACGCTTTCAGTTTAAAGCAAACAAGCAACAAGCTAAATAAATGCATAAATCAAACGTCTTTGCATCTGTATACATACATATATGTAAATATATCTGTGTATACATATACAGATAAACACACACATATACAGATAAACATTTATGTAAATATATATGTTTATCTGTATATGTGTGCGTGTGTGCATATACTCCCTTATTCATTAAAACGTCAAAAATCTCGTAAATTTATTATAGCTATAGAAGTGCTTTGATGTTTGCTTTTAAGCTAATTTATCAATTTGTAGTACTCTTTAATTGTTATGAATACGGGGATAGTATATAATATCTATTCGTAGTGACAGAGATCATGTTGTGAGTGTTAAACTGTTTGCTATTTATTGTTGCAGATTGTTCGCCACGAGTTTACAAGACACAAGTATACATGCACCATTAACGAAAACAGAAGTCGGACGACTAGTAAGTTTCATTCTAAAATTATAAAAAAAAAAAAGTATATAATGATTAGCTACGCCCGCGGCTATGTTCGCGTGCCAGGTACAAAATGTAGCCTACCTTTCTCGATTCTAAATAATCCTTGTATACCAAATTTCTCGATGATGACCAGTAACAAAGGCATATTTATATTCCGCAGTCGTTGAAAATTAAAACAGTGATAACAAAAACTAAAAAAAAAAAGTTATTTGCGATTATTTTTACACAAAAAAATAAAATGGGAAGATTATAAATAATACAAATATAATACAATAACACATACAGTGGGTCAAACTGTAGTTTTTTCCACTGTATTAATTATTTATATACTTGACCAGTTTTGAGATTCAGGCGTATTTTTAAAAATTAAAATAATTAAGTATAAGTGTACTGTAAAATACTTCTATATTGTAAAAAAAAAAGTATGCAAATTGAGTTTATTTTTATTTCGTGAGATTTTCTGTCGTACCTTATTTCGTAATTTGTACCTATAGAACACGTGTGACAATTTTCACATTTTTAAATTCAATAGATAGTTTAGACTATCCGTTGATGATTATTAGACACCGAATATATACCAATCAATAACGTGACACGAACCATCTCGCCACAAATTAGTACTTCAATACAAAACAATTTGACTACAATTGATATTTTATAGTTCAAGCAGGAATAATTCAACCACTAGATTCAATGGCCGATCAATTTCTTTCTGATTGATAAGTCCATTCAGTTCATTTAGAATAGCTATTAGGTACGAACAAATCACTACTTCAATAACCGCAAATAATTGGACATATTGTGTTTTATTTATTGTTACATGACTTCTATCTTTACCTAAAATTTTATATATTTTATCTCACTAATATAACAAAATTATAACTAAACGATGTTTGTATATAGGAGATATTTAAGGAAAAATAAAATGCCAAACCAATATTTTTTTATGAAATTTTGTTTGTCTGCCCTATATTTGTTCTGGTATAGCCTAATATTATGTTACTGAAGTTCTAACTTTAAATTAAATGTTTCTTCTTGATACTACATGTGTAGTACATATACGTCTTACTTGGCCTGTTTTGGAATCTTGCAACGTTGATATTCGCGACACAGTTCTATACTTCTGCGGATATTATAGATTTTCAATTTCCAAATAAAGAATAATGAAATAATACTTCATGAAGAAAAAGTCTATTTAATTGATCTTCCTGATTTTGAGACCTACGCCTATGAAGTTAGGTACTAGTAACTTAGGCTAGTAAGTAATAAAATTAAGTAATAATTATATATTGTTTAAGTGTAATAAAAATTAATATATGAATTATACATTACTAGTATAATATAATTTTTTAGCTTAATATCGCTAAATAAATCTCCCTCTCGGCGTTTTAAAAGGTAAACCAATGATCATGAAATTTGGTACACACATAGTATTTAGGATAAAAAAGGGCATACACTACTTATATACTTACTTAATATTATATATATAGGGTCAATCAATACATTTTGCTCAAATATAATCGCGGCTAAGACTGGTTCTTTATAAGTAATTCGTATGTTTGGTACAGGTGCCTCGAACGACGCAAGCGGTACGAACGAACGTAACAATGTTCGCGTGGAGTTCGTGGGGATCGTGGAGTCCTTGCTCCAGAACTTGTGGCGGTGGAGTAGCAGTCCAGGAGCGACAGTGCTTACCCAGGGATCCTGCGAGGTGAATAAAATTAATTTAAATAAACTCATATGTTTATATCACATACATGTATATTTATGCATATACAAGTGTTTTCAGACTTGAAATGTATTATATTAATATTATTATATCACTACTGTTACTGAATGTAAGCCTTCCACATAAAGGGAGTTTTGCCAGTAGTTGCCACGCTTGGCAGATGGATTCGAAACCAGTTAGGCTTTTGAATATGTTTTAAAAGGGACGCTGCTGCCCATCTCTCTACCATTACGTTTCTTTATTCACCTTTTTATGACACCTACAGGAAAGAAATGGGTGGTCCGATTTATGCTAGAACCAAAAGGCCGACTTTTATATATATACACAATATATATTCCTATATATTATATACTGTTCTCAGATTCCCACTAAATATAGTATCCAGTCGGTTCCCGCATAGATAAATGCATCTTCCATAGAATAAATCCGACCACTCAACACAAAGCAATACAGTTTGCGTGCATTCGCATTTATCTAATCGATGTAAATGAGACTGCAGTTCTGTGCAGATGATGCGATATAAATCGCACGCGACTGGCTATACTGAGACACTAATTGCCCTACTATTGCGACCAGATGGCTTCCGCTAATTTGTCGCAAATATATAGATAGGCTTAAACAGTAAGGCTAGTTAGTAATTGTATTTGGTGTAAACACCACCAGAGGGAGACTGTACAAATGTCGTCTGCTTGGGTACCTCTGTCCCACTCGTGTTACTGCCGTGAAGTATTTGATGTTCATGGGTGTGTTTCAGTTTGGAGGGTGGAATATGACAATGAAATTACAGGGTACAAAGGCATAATACCTAAGTTCACTGAAATGACATCGCAAAAGGGGTGTCGTGGGTAACACACTATACATTATTATGTACATGATACTGTTTATGTCTATAAGTAACGGTTACCACTTTCCATCAGTAAGGCCGCCAGCTTGTTTTCATTCTAAGTTACATAAGAAAAATAAAAATAAAACTAACTGGTACGTAGTAAGTTGTGATTCATTACCATCATCATATCAGCCATTAACTGTCCACTGCTGAACATTGGTTGTGATTAGTCTGAATAAACTCATTTCATGCTGGTATAATATAATTGAAGAACTGAGTACGTAAAATGGCTTACAGTGCTTTGCGCATAGTTCTTAGAGTTTTAGACCTTCTTATTAAATTACATTTTTTTATAAAATTTTACTTATTATTATATATAAAGAATGAATGAATAAATGAACTTTATTTGCTCGAATACGAAAAAAGTACTGCGCATTCAAACCAATTATCTGATCCTCAACTTGGAATAATAACCCTAAGTTATAAAAGATCATTGAATTAATAAGTATATTTTGGCACAAGAAAAGTTCAATACTTGAATTGACCTAACTGAGAATCAAACCCAAAATCTTATTTATGTAAAGCAACTAGTAAGCAATCGCCATTAAAGCCATTAGGCTAAATATAATAAAATTTAATTCTATTAATTATGAATTAACGCGAAATTAACTATAGTTTACAGTATATAAATAGATTCACAATAATGACGAAATTGATATATGATATGTATATATAATGTAATATGTGTATACATAAAAGAATACAATCGAATTAAGAATCTCCTAAGTCGATTAAAAGCTGATTTTGAAGGGATTATTCCCTTTCACTGGAGGCCTATCTGTAACATTCTACACTATGTAGGCGTATCGATTGTTTATCAATAAAATGGATAATGAAGTCATTTCCAATACATTATGGAGTCGAAACACGATTCAAAAAAGTCCTATATTAGCTAATAACATTTACAATGACGATAACACGCGAGATAAAATTAAAATAAACGCCTCACTATTCTAATTTCTTCATTTTAAAAACCAAATTCGTGTTTGACATAGTAAAACAAACAAGCAAGCACGTGAGGAAGATTAATGGGTGTATACCTCTGTTTTTTTGTTTCATCTATTGTCCGTGCGGTATTGTCTTAATTGTTTCATTACAGGGCCGTATATACGAGCTATTAAGATAAGAAGCCTTGTCTTTCAGATACAGATATCTTGAACTTTTTGTCAGATAGGTAAAAAGAATTCAGAGATTACATACTTAATTGTATTATAATAATGTTTCTGAGATTAAATGATATATGTTATATGATGTGCTGTTGAAATAATTGCTAATTAATATGAGTAATTACTAATCAGGAAAATTAAGTTAATTTAGTTGAATTTAATTTTATTAAAACATAATAAGCGATTTAAAAAAAAAAAAAACATTAATTCACTTGTGTTTTATTTTCTAATTTAATTTTGATATTTTATTTTATTTATAACGGGATTTACTCTCTTGTAGGTCCCACATTAATTTTAACGTCATTGAAGTACTTTTTTTGTGGCCAATATCTCGAATTATTAATGTAATAAATCAACGTTATTAATTTTACTGATATTTTCTAGACAATTTTAATAATTAAGAATATATTATTAATTGCTATAAAATTACACGAGTAAAATGTTTAGCAGCCCTGCAGCCTGCGCGAGCGTGGACAGGCGCGGGCGCACCATTGATCATAGATCACAATGATATCTAATGATACGGCACGTGATCGATAAAGGGACGGCTTGCCCACCGCAGGAGAACTTTCGATCACACGAACTGAACTTAGAAACCTTTGGACGATTGAGATGTACTGTTTATACAATATTTGTTAGTACGATTTTAGGTTATAAGTATAAAAAATAACTTTTATCTTCTTTTTCTTTTTTCCAATGGCAATCGAATACCGTCTTTACGACTATGTCTGCCAGCTTCATCTACAAGAAACTCCTAACTCGATTTTGTTTATTTTTTTACTAGTACAATTCAAAGCACACCACAATCATAACAAACAATTACGTATTGTTCCATTGAATATTTATTATTTTTTGCTCAGACTATAGCACTTCAATTTAAATTAAGGCCTGGACCACACGGCCAATCTAAGCATAATTCATAATTATAATGGGTAGTGTTTCCATTAAAAGTAAAATAGAGTTGACAATTTTAGTGTTAATAAAAAAAATATTTTACATTTATACTTGTATTGTAAAAATAATAAGATTTTTTTATACAACTTAGAATGGCAAAGAAGCTGACGGTCCACCTGATGGAAAGTGGTAACCATCGCCTATAGACATGAGCAGTACCATGGACATAACAACGTATACTGTTTCGCCCATGATACCTCCCATGCGTTGCCATTCCTGAGAACTCAGGTGTTATTCCTCTGTACCCTGTAAATTCACGCCATATCCTATCCTTCAAACCGTAACACAGCCATGCAAACACAACTGCTTCACGGTAGAAACACGAATGGGACAGAGGTACCCAAACAATCGACTTTTATAAAGTCTTGTAAAGTCTCCCTCTGGTTGACTTAAGTGTATTTTTATCGAGAATGCTCGACTAGTTTCGGGGCCATCCACGGTCTTTAATAATAGCAAGCCTTAACGCGAATACAAATATGGCTGTACTAAAAATAGACGTAAATCAATCCAGTTATTTTTAGATTTAATATAACATACGTACTTTCGAAGCTTTTAATAAGAAAATATTCTAGACTCACCAGAGGGAGTCTTTGTACAAAGGTCGTTTGCTTGGGTACCTCTGTCCCATTCGTGTTTCAACCGTAAAGCAGTGGTGTTTGCATGGCTGTGTTTCTGTTTGAAGGGTGGCATATGACAATGAATTTACAGGGTACAGGTATCTTAGTCTTCAAGAATAGCAACGGTATCATGAGCGAAACAGTATACCCTTTTATGTCCACAGTACTGCTCATGTCTATAGGCGACGGTTACCACATTTCATCAGGTGGGCCATCAGCTTGTTTGCCATTCTATCATTGCATAAAAAATAATTTTATCACTAATTCAAAAGTAGACTCTCCGAATACTGTTACAGAAACAAATAGTCAGGTTGACAAATGAAACACTCAATAGAACTAATGATCTGCCAATAGTATCTACATCTAACTGTAGTTAGACACGAAGTGATAGTAATATGGAATTATTATCAATAGGGTTTACTCTTAATGTACAAGTAGTTATAACCGCAACAATGCCTGAATCTCGGCTAATAGCGTAATTAGCTAATACTAATAATCCTATTTGAGAAACAGGAATTACATAATATAAACTTTGACTGTATAATGTGAATAAAATTTAGACTTTAAATATGGGTAATATATACTAATGTCTATATATTTTAATTGCAATGTCAATAACGGATATACGAGTATTAAATATCGCTTATGTAATATATAAGAAGAAGAACCCCATCAAAATTATATCAACAATTGTATCAAATTTTAAATCAACTATTACTGGAATTTTGTTGTCTAATAAAAAGAACTTGCAAAAAACTCAACAATTGAGAGCCTTAGTAGTTGCTTAAATATATTTCTGTGACAGACATATAGAAGGAAGAACCAAGTCGTAGTATAAGATTTTGTAATAAAAACAATATACATTTTAATCAGTATTAAAAAAATGGAATATTTTGTCAAATATTAGAAGGTTTGTGGTCCTATGACCTGCCAATATAACATAATAGCCACGCTGTCTTCGAATCATGATCTAATGACAGTTATCTTCATTGATTGGACACGAGAATTTCATGCGTTTATCAACCACAATCGGACCATTACACTCTGATGCGTCAACTTTCACATTTCACTGTATTAGAACTGACAATCACAGTCAAACTATTTATCTATACTAATATACAAGGTGACTCAAAAGAAAGATCACATTTAAAAAATCTCTAAAAAAAATTAAACAAGGAGTTTATTAAAAAAATGTTTATTACATATCAAAATACACTTTTTGGGAATCTATTTCTTGAAAATGATATCGTCCAAATGTAAACCGTTGCATTCACAGCATTTATTTAATCGAGCTCTAAAATTTTCTATGACGGCTCGGTATGTATTGTCCATGATGGCTGCCATTTCGTGACGGATATT